TAATCAAAGTAGTAGTACATTTTGATAAGCATGAAATTAGAAAGAATAATTACAGGGGATCACCCTATTTCATCTGTGACAAGTGAATTTGACTAAATTGGGTTCTATACAGATGTCACAGGTCTAAAATACCATGAGACAATGCTGTTCCTTAAAGACTCTCATCACCAGCAGGTGATCCCTTATGCTTTACTAGTCATCCACTGTTTCATCATCTGTGAGCAAGATTATTTTAGTAAATGGTATTTGCAGGGTTGTATTTCCTGACAGCTGTCACAATTCTCTGCTGGTTCAATGCCAGTACAAGCCCAGGTATTGACGAGGATCTCTCAGTCACATGGGATCTCATTGCTTTTGTAAACATCTACTAAACTCTCTGTGTACCTCTAGCTGTTGACTCTGGAGATAACAGTATCTAGATCCACCTGCAGGCTTTTAGTTTATAACCTGCCCTTTAGCATTAGGTCCTTTTCACTACACCTTAAATCTTTCTAGACAAAAAAAAGATTTATTTAATTTAGCTCAGCTTTCATTTTCTGAGTTTATGTAAGCAATTGTGTTTAAACAGCATTATATATCTACAATTGAAAGTGGATGGAATACAATAAATATAGGAAACAACTATATTAGGGAAATATATATATAACAACAAAAAAAGTTTATATAAAAAAAAGAATGGTAGCATGAAAAGGATGTCATGGTGATAGCATAACACAGAAAAAGTCCTGTTCCAAGCATGGCATACGGCCAATCATCTGACTAAAGAGACACTGGCAAGGATAGCAGCTGTGTGCCTGAAACCACTGAAAATGATATAGGAAAAGGAGTGAGTTTGGAGGACAGCTCAGCTGGAGCAGAGCTATATATACTCACCCTACACAACAAAACTGAGACATTTATGCACTAGGAGTGCATCACACTGTGGAGTGTGTGTAGGTGTCCCCAGCCCCAAACGGTCAGAGAAGGTCACAGCTCTAGAAGATATGCCAGTACAGAATATGCCATCTTTGTGTGCAGCCTCACTTTCTGGACACTTCTTGAATCTGGAACCAGCATAATTTTTGCCTGGACAGAGACTTTTACATATTTTTCTCCCGAGCTGAGTCCAGCTATTTTTCCTCATTGTATTGAGAGTATATCACCTGAAATCTGCCTTATCATTGCATCTGTTTCCATCTTAGAATCATAGAATCAGCTGGGTTGGAAGGGACCTCCAAGATCATCAAGTCCAACCCTTGATCCACTACTGCTGCGGTTGCTAGACCATGGCGCTAAGTGCCACATCCAGTCTCATCTTAAAAACCTCCAGGGACAGAGAATCCACTACTTCCCTGGGCAGCCCATTCCAATGTCTGATTACCTTCCCTGTAAAGAAATAAATCTTCTGCAAGTCTTCTCACTGAGAGCTTCCTCTGATGCAACATCACATTCAGTAATTCTGGCATGTGAAGACCATCACCATATTTATAATAAAAGGCCAGATATTGTCCTCTGTGCATGTTACCTAATGGCTCATGAGGTGGCTTGCTCTCTGTCTTGCTCCTAGTGAACATCTGTTCATGTTACAGACTGTATACAATGTTGGAAAAATAGCCTGGGGTTAGATGAGTCAACAAAACCAAAGTTATGTCTTCCTTGAGTAAATGTTACTGGATGCACAGTGGAGGGACATGGGGCCACAGTCATGTGCCCCCTCTGTTGTCCCCTCTGCTGCCCTTGTTCTTAAACACACATATGGGTATGCATAAACACATGAGCATACATTGCTTATTTGCTTAAACATAAAGCATTTGCATGTGCTATCTTCAACTATTTAGGAAATATGGAACCGTTCAGCATCCCATAGGGGAAGAGCCAGCCAGTTCCCTCCAGGCAAAAAAACACCAACAAAACCCAGCTACAGGAAGCAGAGACCCCACCACACAGATGTCACACACTTTCTAACACATTCTCCTCTGTCATTCTGTTTTCATTGTTGGTCTGCTATCTTCACTTCCTTCTGTCCTTTCCTTTTTAACTAGAAAATTACTTCTTCCCTGGAAAGGATCTGAGCCATAGAAATTACTGAACGAGAATTCACTGGTCTAGCTACTACAGCATGGTTTGTTTGACTTTGCCTTTCCTCCTCCCATCCTCACTCTGTGCTGCCCTGCTATCTCCTTAAAGCAGGAGCTTGCTATTGCTCTCCATCTGTGCAAGGCTGGAACAGCGGATTTCCGCTCCCAGTTGGTAACTAGGAATTAAGAGATAAATAGGTTGTAAAATTATGTTTGTACATTGCTTAGCAAACTAGGATTTTATTCCATATTGGCCCCTATACACTTAAAATAAACAGAGTTTAGAATTATCTAGAATGAAAGAGTTGTAAGAAAACAATGAGGAACTGCCAGTAATGTCAAGGCACTTAAAATTCACACACTGCTTTACGTTTTCACAAACACTCTTTATATGTCTTTCTTAATTAGCAAATAATCAGCTGTGTAGCTAGAATACAAGTTTCTTATCTGAAGAGGGCCAGTGATGACATTGCCTGATAAACTATGTGCAATGTACTACAATAACAATTCACTGCACAGAAAAACATCCCATTTTTTTGAGCACACTTACAGTAAGCAAGTGATTGCTGCTCAGGAAATTAGAAAAGAGTGTAGGAAAACAGCAATTCCATGGATTATCTGTTTATGATTAATTCCTCACTGTGAAAGTTATTAAAAATTGCACACAAAGCCATTCAAACTCAGTGTGGTTTCTCAGAGCACAAATGCATGCACAGTCACTCTGTAAAGTGAAACAAAGATTATTTGTAACTTCCCCATCAAGGGCTTGCTCAGGTCACAATTAAGTACTCACACGGCATATTGCAACAACATCTGGTCTAAACGGATTTTGAGTAGCTGTCCTATTCCCTCGACTACTAGGTAGTATCAAGAATTAGTAGAGGTCAAGCTACAGTAAAACAAACCATCAGAATGACATTTCTACCTATTAGTTGTGATCATCTTCACTACTAGCATCTTGTCATGTCATTCATCAAGCCCTCTTGCCCTTGCAACCACAGGGCACGTGCCACGACAGATGCTCACTGCATAGTGGGCCAATGCTGAGTGAAGCTCAGCTAAGACCTTCCTTAATGAAACACCAGACTGGTCTTCTCTGATGTATTTATCACTTCTATTTAAATTCCATAGCTAGCATAAGATACACTATAAAAAATAAAAGTAGTTACCACAGTATCTTACAAGGGTCCAAATCTGTGCCATATGTTCAGTGTACTATAGACAGCCAACAGAGGATTTACCATCTAGAAAGTCAGGAGATGAGAGTGTGACATAGGTCTTCAGCATAATTTTGTCTGCCAGGGCCTTGCTGAAACACCTGACAAGATTATCAGTTTGATGGTTTCTGTGTTTTTTTCTCTATTGGGGAAAAAAAAAGGAAGCGCTTATCCAAGTCCTCTTTAGGTTCTTTGAACTGGTGGCCAGCTGCTTTGGTTTCAGTCACCATCATACACTACTTTAACAAAACAAACAAAAAACCCCACAACCCCCCCCAACCAAACAACAAATCCCAAACAAACAAACCCCCCAGGTTTTCTTTGTTTGTTTGGCAACATCTATTTGAGGCAGACTGACCAAAGCAAACAGTACATACTCAACTGCCAGCACCTACTGAACTCAAAGGGTTTGGGGAATCATTCAAGACACTTCAATATTGTAGATTTTTCTTTTTTTCAGAGAAAAATTAAGCAAAGAGAACCCATTTATTCCACTTTGCTCGTATCTGTATCATAAAAATGCAACCACTTGTACTTTAGTAAGATTGCATTTGCTCCTGCTTTACATTTTGCAACCGTCCTGCAAACATCCTCAGAAATGTATTAAATGATATCTTGAAAGATTTAAGGATTTCCTATTTCCCTTTAATTAACAAATAGAAAACAGAAAAAGTTTGACACCAGTGTAAACACCCATTTAACTTACCACGACAAAACTCTTCCGTTAGAATTTACCACCTGCAAGACGTCACAGACTATAATTTATTCTTAGTGCAAGAGCAAACCCAAGCCACCTGTAATTAACCGCAGGTAACTGTCACGTAGTCAGATACTCCGCCACCGCCCGCCTACGGTCGGGACGGCGGCTCTTCAAAACCCGTAGGTCGGCGGCGGAGAATGAAAGAACCCCTTTATCAGCGGGGAGAAAAGACGCCCGCAGCCCGGGGCGAGGAGCTGGGGGAGCCCGGCGTGCCCAAACACCGCGGCCGAGGCGGCTGCTCGCGGAGCGCGGAACGCTTTCTCCACGCCGTGGGCAGCTTCTTCGGGGCAGCTTGCCGTGTGAGCAAGAGACCTACACAGGGAAAAGTTTTTGTACTTTTTTTTTTTTTTTTATAAGTTACTCTCGGGCAGGGGGCGCGCTTATTTCGGCTCCCGCCGCCCTCTCGGCCGCCAGCAGCCCCTCGCTCCGCTCCGGTCCTCCGCGCCCGGGCTCACCTCGACGAGCCGCTGCAGGGCGGGCCCCTGCAGGCAGGTGTGGTTGGCCAGTAGCTCCAAGCGCTCCTGGAGGAGGCGCTGGGCCGCCTGCACCTCGGCCGGTCGCTCCAGCGCCTGCAGCACGGCGGCGCCCATCCCCAGATAGCCCACGTAGGCGGCCAGGAGCACCGGCACCCCCCAGCGCCGCCGCCGCTCCTGCTGCTGCGCCGCCACCATCGCTCCGCGACCGCCGCAGCCCCCGGCGCTGAAGAAGCGGCTGCGGCGGGGGCGGGAGCGGGGCCGCCCGCGGGAGGAGGGCTGCGCCAGCCGGCCCCCTGCGCCTCCTCCGGCCTGCCCCTGTCCACCGAGTCGGGCTGTGCTGGGACAGGCAGGTGGTTGTGCCGGGAGGGGCAAGTGGTTGTGCCGCTCCCCGCTGCAGCAGCCCACCGCGCCGCCCTCGTCCTCTTCTGGTACGGCTCCACACCTGTCCGTTCCAGAGCGCGGAGCTGCCCCAGGGGTCCCATCTGCGCGCCGCGAGTGCCTGAGCAAGCGCGGGCACCGAGTCACGTTCGCCCCTCCGAGGGATGCTAGCTAGCCCCTTTCCCAGCAAATCCAAGTACCTCTCTCATCAGCTGGCACTATTAAAGTACTACTACGGCAGTAGGTTGCGTAAATCTGCTTTTCTCCTTCACTCAGCCGCTAATATAATTTAAAAGGCAGCAAAAAGGTATTTGTGATAACAACTCTTAGATATAAACAAGTGAAAACGTAGCAAGTTTGTCAGAATCTTTTTATAATTTGTAATTTTCCTGTGGAAGTACTTTCTTCATATAGCTAGTTCTGAAGACTGCTTTGATTATTTATTTTCTTGTAGAGAACTATATCCAACGTTCCTTTCTGTTCTCTTACCAGCAGATAAAACAGCCAAGTCACTTTTGGTGTATAAAATCTTTTTAATTTACCTGTTTTGTTGCGTAATGTGAGCTAAAGGGAGATAAACCCGCTAGATTTCTGAACAGGATGCCTTTATGCACTGTCACATGGAAATGTGTTCTCACATTGCCCTCTAATTATTTTTGCCAGGGACATGTGCATACTGTTACAAATAAGGCAACCTTCAAACAGGTATTGCCCCACTGCAACAGTGCTAATCTTTGGTTTTCTGGGCTGTGCTTTAAACTGACTAGCATAAACACATGATTTTGCTAGCAAGATGCAAAAATTAATATGCAAAAACTAGATCAATTCCAGAGTAAAGATATCATCCTGAGCACACCCTAGGAAAAAAAAAAAAAAGCTATGCTGCTTATTGCTCAGTCCTAGCTCTGCCTTTTCAGAGTATTCATTACTGAATGATATTTAAAGCAAAAACGGAATTATGTAAAAAAGGAAAGACTTCTATAAAAATATATATGAGAAAATAAAAGTACAAAGATACTAAAAAGAATATATACTTGTCACCTCTTTCATTGAAGTTCAGGAAATAGATACATCTGAGCTACATTTTGACATTTTAACTGCATTTAAACCCAGATATTTTATACAAAGCACACTGAGTATAACCATGCTAAAACATTATGAATAAACCTATAGCATTTAATATTTATACTAAAAATATATAAAACAAATTACAGGGGAGACTCAGGAGTTTTAACTACAAGACAGATTGTGAAAACCCATGACATCAAGCACGTGCTTACTAGGAAACTGGGGAGAAAGAGATCAGGATTCACAATAAATCTTCACAGAATTATATACTATTTAAATGGCTGGTTTTCTTGAGTACTCTCAGAAGTGTCACTTGTCTGTCAGTCTTCTATTTACATCTCCACAGAGAAGGGCTCAAATCTTGCCGATGATATTTTGGTGTTGTCTGGAAGGTACCAATATATCTGAGGATGAAGAAGGGCTTGTTGTGCAGGCTTAAAGGGTAAGTGTAAGCCTGGAAGGAAATTTGCTTCTTGTCCTGCACTGGACTACCACTGCAGCAAGTGGTAGCTGTTCATCACAGATGAACACTGCCTGAGCCATCACTTCTGCCACAGACTGCAGAGCTACATTCAGAGGCTTCAGAAGTGCTGTTTTCCATGCATTGGAGCTAAATATGTGCACTCTTCATTATGTGCAGAAATGTACCACTGGTAAAATGGGCTATTAGACCAGAAGAGTCCCTTTTGTGTGCTCCTCTGGCTCCTAGCAAGCCCCTGTGATTGTGCAGTTCTTCCACGTTACTTTTCTTAGCTGGTCAGTTGATAATTGACAACTGCCTTTTTATTAGAGGAAGACTACCAGAAAGCACTTGGTCCATCCATGTTCAAGAACTAGGCCAGTGCTCCCAGTATATATCTCAAATTAACTTCAATTACAGATATGCATGACCTTTAGGATCTTTTCAGGACCTTGAAAAATTGACAAAATGAGCAAGAAATTTCTATCGCTTATGTAATGCATGAGAGGGCATCAGTATCCTTCTTGTTTCTATTCCAACGTGGCCATATTTAAGGGATCTTTTTGAATCTTCTGGCAGACAGGTAGACAACTGCTGCAGCTACTCTCAGCTTTACTAAACACAGCAGTAGCAAAAAATTCAGAAGATGGTCTCACCATGCTGCTACTTTGCAAAATCATTAGCAGATACAGGAACAATTTTCTGAACTGCAGTAAAAAAACTGCAAACTTCCTGCTGTCAGATGTCAAGTAAGGATAACTTTAAGAAACACTTTGCCAGTAACTGCTTTCTATCCCTGATAAACCTCATTATCATTTTTTATGGCATGCAGCATGGTGTAAAACACTGTATAGGATCACCTTTAGAGCAGTGCATGTGTTGTGGCTGGCTGTGGTTAGATAAAGTAAGGAAGGCATGGAAAAATGCAAGGTGAAAAGAACAGGTTAGATATAGAAGTCAGCAGAACTTTAGCTTCGTCTTTCACATAAACAGGCCAAAAATGTCTTGTAGAGTTAACACAAGGCAGGTACAGAATACAGTGATAGTGATGATGTTAAAAAGTGCAAGTGCAAACATTATGTCTGAAGAATAGAAAATACTGAGAGAAAAAGTCTCCCGTGAGATTTGCAAAGATACAAAAAACCAGACAGGAGAGAATTGGCTGCTCTCAGTAAAAGTCTACCAAGAAAGCTGTTGCATAAATTTATGGGAATAGCTGAGGGCGTGGGGAAGATCAGTGAAAAAACAGAGGAGATAAAATCTGTGAGGTAGGTAGTGGTAAAACATGAGGTAAATCTTAGATGGGATAAGCATTTGAACACTCATTTTTGAAGCTAGTCTAATAAACCATTCTTATACGCCAGCATTTCAAATTTGAACAGCTCCACTGCACTATGCAGGTGTCAGCAACTGGCAAACAAAACAAACACCATGTCAGATGTAAGAACAAATGTCTGTTGTGACCCTCCTCAGGAGTAAAAATCTAGCTCAGAAAGTATGCATGAAAAGATTAGTGACCTACACAAGCCTCTACATGTTTTATGGACACATCTCCAAAATGAAATATCAAAGCAGCTGCTGAAAGGCTGACATTTGATGTTCCTGTAGCCTGTCAGACATACGCTAGCTTGGGGCTAGTCTACATATGCAGTCATATTTCACTCACACTTTACATTAAAGTTCCTTTTATAAATGAGTTTAAAAGGATTAATTGATGGTTACTATGAGATATAAACATATTGAATAAATAGCAGTATGTATATGATTACAAGCATGCCCATGGAATGTGTTAGTCATGGTTATAACCAATTGAATGTGGTACCCAATGAATGGATAATTGTTTTATCAAGTTTCTGTAGTTCACTTTAATACAGAGTATGACTACAGTTTTTCATCTCAGTGACTATCCTCTTATAAGGTGCTTATATGTCTTTCTTTGGTTTTTAAGCTTCTTTGGAGATGGCTTCTGCTACCTTTGACTTAAAATAACTGTGATAAAATCAAACTCCCTATTTCTCATGGGTGACACTATACTCAAGTGAGGATCAGATCTAATGTAAGAGCCTATAATCAGCCTTATTTAAAGATAAACATACAGCATCAAATCTGTACGGTGCATGATAGTTCTTCAGTGAACTGGCCCATATAAAATGCCAGACTCTAATATTATTTGTGACCTGGCTAGAAATAAGGAAATCTGCTTGCATTTAAATTTAGTTTAAAGTGCTGTCTAAGTGGTTGTGAAATGAACTGTGATGAGGACCTGCTTTGAGTTGCCAGTTCACTTTGAGATGAATTGTAACAGTCCAGGCAGTGCTGGATAGACACATAATTTCTGCACAATTAAAAGAAAAGCATTTTAGCTCAGAAAATAAATGTTTTCATTTTATGTGAAAGCTGCTCATTTCAGACAATATCAGCTGAATCTTAACTGGATGGCTGTCATTAAGCAGGTTTTCATTACTGTTGATATTCCTCTATGCTGTTGCTTGTTTTCTGACTGGAAATGAAGAAAGATTTCTGTACCTGACTTTTTCCACTTGAGATTCTTGATGACGTGACTTCTTATTGAAGCTGGGAGGCAGTCACTCTGGATTTTTTTGAAAATGAGTGACCATAAGAACTCTATCCCACTAGAGAAAGACAAAGGATAATAATTGATTACTTCAGAGGAAGTTGCCTTTTTTGAGTGAGAATTGTAAAATGAATCCTGGGACAGTTGTATAGCTACTCCTTTGGAGGTTTTGTGTAGGCTGATGCCTACACAGGGTGTGGAAATTTCCATGTTTCTGGAACACTTCCTCCTTAGGAAACAGTCCAAAACCTGTGGTTTAGTCCTTTATCCACAGGGCTTGCTTAGTGTGAGATACAGATGAAAGATGCAGTTTCAGACTGCTCTCTTTGTACCTTTCTCAGCTAGGAATATGGATTCTGCGCTGCTCAGGTTCATCTTCCAATTTGGTGGTGGCTCCTTCTGCCAAGCTTGAGTCAGACTTATGCCCCTTTAGCTGAAGGAATTTTTCCATCAAGTCAGCTCCCACGTTGAAGACCAGAGCCAGCCAGGCCAAGCCAAAAACAATCCAAATTGCAGTAAGGCTCCTGTACACAGGGATATAGTGCTTGTTGGGGTTTGTGCCTGAAAAATCCGGGGAAATTTGCATATTAATCTTGACAGCTTTGTTCTGCTGAACATACATACTGATACACCCTCTCCACCCCCTGCAGAAATGTAGGTTTAGTGAGCTTGTGTGATGTATCAGCAGATAGATCTCTCTTTTTCCTTTTTTTTTTATGCCAGCTCTCAGGTTAAACTTAGCGCAGTTGGCATCAAATCCCTGAAGCTGACGCTATACAATAAAAATAGCCATATTGAATGTTGATCAGGGATGCACAAAATAAACAGTTCCTAGCCAACAACAAATAAAAAAACCATCTTGGAAATTCAATGTTGAATCCATATTAGCCATATTTTACTCGAGAAACACTGGGAATCTCAGATGACTTAGAAAGATACAGTTTAATAATATAGTGATTCCTACTTGTAGGGTGATATAACTCAGTATGCAGGGTTCACAATCACCTGGCTACTATGGGAAATGCAGCCATTTTAAGTAAGTGGTTATGAGAATCTTAGTGCCTGGTTTGATGTTTCCACAGCATGGACAATCGGTGCAGCTGATACAGGCACAGGACAGCACTGCAGCTATCCATTTAGTCTCTGTTGTCCAGATAATCATGAAATTCCACAATGCCAGATACAGCTTGGGATGCTTCTTTATCTTCTTTTGGGACCTCTAGGAGAGGAGACCTACTACTTGCAAAGTAAGAGATCATAGTGGTTTTAAGAAATACACACATTAGACATAATCTGTTAAGATTATGCATTTGTTCAAATAAGCATGTGGAAATGTAGCCCCTTACGTGTCTTTACCGTGACATTCTCAGCCTAGATCTCTAAAGACTATGTAATCTCACTGGGTTTGTTTTCTTTCAGAGGCATCCTGTGGTTGTCAGTAATGTTGTTTCCATTGTAAGTATTGATTATTTAATATTTGACATGAATTGTTACTAGGAATGGTAGGCTCTTGCTGAATCACTGTTAGGAGAGGGTGGTTTTAAGGCTTAATACTTAATACTTCTTTAAGACAAAGAAAGTTCATTTATATTCCTCCTGTCACTCCTGGATCCCATTTGTGGCAGCCTGGGCAGAGACATTGTTGAATGGGTGTTCAGTGGCATATGTGAAATGAGTTGGGTGACTCGCAGCTTAGCTGCCAAGAGAAAAATGCTCATGTCCTATAATATATTAGCTCATTATTACTAGTCTGGCTGAGCTCACTCTTGTACCAGATTTATAGTGGAATGGATATCTATGCTCCCTGTATTTAGTTTTATACTAGAGTAACATATTTCAACAGAGCTTAATCCAGTTCACCTTCTTTTTTACCTACTACATAGTCCCCAAATCCAATGGTGCTCAGGGTGATGAAAGTGAAGTAAAAGCCTTCTCCATAGCTCCAGCCTTCTACATAACTGAAGACTAATGGCGGGAACACTAGAAAAAGCAAAGTCCCAGTGGACAGGAAGATGGCCACTGCCAGTGTTTGAACCACCTGAAAGATAAAGCGAAGATGGCAGCTAAGCAGCATGGAGCAGTTGTCTTGTTGAAATTGCTGGGTCTGTTTTTTTCTTGAATCACAAACCCACTCCAGCTGGGAGCAGCGGCAAAAAAAGGAAGGATAAGCCAATGCTTCCAAGCACTGCAGGCTGAGCTCACTATTTACTCTGCAAATAGATATTGAACCTAATCATGAAACAAAAAAAACCTTAAAATTAGGAAAAAAAGGGAGGATTTTTTTAAAGCTTTTTGCAATGAGTTTTTAAGAATGCTCCAGTCATATTTTCAGACTTACAGCAGCCATAGGAATGAAATACTCACTTTACAATTTCAAGAGGAGGTACTCTTGTAATCAATTGGTTTCTGTCTTTGAGGAAAATCACCAAGTATTGCATAACTCATTATACGAAGATTGGCAAGAAAAATTTATGGTTCTTTTCACCATGATTGCTTCCAAAGATTTATAAAGTGGCTTATAAGAGCTCAGCCAAAAATATGTTTGGATGAAACCTAAGTGAAGTCAGTTTGCCTTCTTTCATTTTTAACTTAGAAGCACTCAGAGGAAAACTGTTCTGTTAGCACAGGGAAGATCTGTGCCTCTCAGTACAAATGTCTGCCTTCTGGGACATAAGTTACTGCATATGTGACTGCAAAGACTGGTCAGGGGATGGGTCATGACAGCAGATTTTAGCAGTTTAGGACTGAGGATCAGGAATTCATGGATTTCCAGGGAACACATTCTGTTGAACTATTGTCTAGTGGTGTGCTGATGCAAACTCATTGCAATTATTTAAAAATGCCCTCAAGGGCATTCAAAACGGAATATGATTTTCTATTCATGTGCCTATTGTGACTGGATGAAAAGCCAAACCACTGTTTATAAAGTAGAAGGTCCAGGTATCATGTTTTCTTTTCTGTAGATAAAGAATGTAGCGACTCGAGATTTTACAAATGAAAAAACTTGTGTCAGAACTGTGAAATGTTTTGACATATCTAACATATCTAATCTCCCTTTTGTCTCACTGAAGCAGTCAATTCACTGAACCTTTTCTCAGAAACATGCACTAACTGTGTTATAAATGACCTTAATGTATTTTCTATTATCAGTCCTTCTCTTATTATAAAACATTTGGACTAGTTCAATGACTCACCAATAAGCTGTAAGTAAGGAGAAGAAGTATTTGCATTTTGAGAAAATAGAGGCAGTGCTAAGTTGCTGGCACAATTAGGGAAGCTAATTCAAGCCAGATTAGCATACCAATAAAAATAATTTGTCTTTGCACAGTGTAGAGCTAGACTCTGGATAGATGCTACTATAGGCTAGAGAATAGAAGCTTGATTCAGCTATGTGTGTATACGCACACATTCTTCTAAGGTCACCAGATTAATGGGTTTGCTGAGTCAGGTTTTAAAAAGGCAAATCTAGAGTCCCTTAGGCAAAAGCCTATTTCTTTAAAGCTCTTGTAGATAAATGAAGTGTATCGAGTTTCTGATATAGAGGGCCACATAACTGCTGTGGTTCACACAAGGAAGCCCAATCTAGCAGCAGCACATATCTGAGAAGAGAACTTTAACTACTTTTAAAATAGAAGAAACAAATGATAAATTGACACTGTACCTGGGCACGGCCTGGCTTTTGCACCCATCTTTCCAGGGTAAGCAGATGAGCGTTGAGACCTTTCCCCAGCTGATTAAGGAAGGCCAGGTTGAGGGGCACTCCAAATAAGGCATAAAACACACAGAAGATCTGCCCTGCCACTGTGCTGGGGGACAGGTTACCATAACCTGGAAAAAAAGAAGAAAACAGCTACACGAAAAGGCTTTACAGTAAAGCTGCAGGCATCATGGAGAGTTCCTAAGCTTGGAAGTTCAACTACATTAAGCTTCATGAACCTGTGAATATATGATTTTCTGTAATTAAATCTGTCTACAAATTGCCATAGTTTATGACGAAGGCCTGTGCATTCACTACTACTAGCTGAAAATTGAACATGAAAAATACTACTCTTATAGGGAATATTGTAACTTGCTATAGGTTTCTGATCTTGTGGTGAGTGCAACTCAGAGCTTCAAAGCAACCTCAAGATGCGCTGTCCATGTACAAGATGATACTGCATGTACCAAGTAGGCACTCGGCTTCCTTGGCAGGTGTAAAATACTGGATACGCAAGAATAACAGGCATAATTGGAAACCAAGAGAAAACTGTAAGTCACAGTACTTGATTGTCTTGCAGGTGTATTCTGTCCACCAATTACACATTTCTGGGGGCTTTAAAGGATAGTTGGAGGAAACCCAGGTTTATAAGGAAAGAGAGTACCTCACCTATAGTGGTGACAACAGTTCCTGCAAAAAAGAAGGAGTTGCTGAAGTCCCAGTTGCTGGGATTTGTTGAGTTTCCTTCTGGGTTGACCCCTTTTTCCCATGCTTCCATGAGGACCTGAGGTGGAAGAGGTCAAAGGAGCAAAGATGAGGAAGAGTGTCAGAAATAGAGAGAAGTAAATACTGCTTTCAATCTTGAGCAAGCAGAGTGATAAACAATGTAGATAACAGGGTAGAGTTGGACTAAAATGGACTACTGCTGACATGGCAAAACTTGGAAATAGAGTTGGCTAGGAACTTGAACTCTTGCCCCTGGAGAACTGGGCGCTGAAGTAGGATTAGTTCCATAGCTAGATGAAATCTGAGGGGAAGGGAGTGGAGGGATTCCCCAAAGTGATCCAACTGGGAAAAAAAAGTAAAGCTGTGCCATAAAAAGTAAAGGTAATTCCTCTTCTCTTCTTCCATAGTCTAGTCATCTCATTCCAGTTTTTAATGTAGGCAAGTGTAAATGTGTCTGTGGGGAAGGGCATGAGGAACATGCTCATTTCTGTTTCCTCTATGTAAGTACTAGTGAGGATGAATTTCTATTTTTGGCTTTGACTTCCCAATAATTTTCAATGAATATTAGGCTTCTCTTAGTCTGAAAGATTAACTAATAAAATATTCTCTGCTATTCCAGATAGCTCTTACCAGATGACTAAAACTACTGTGTGCTAAAAAAATACTGCTCCTGCATCAAATGTCCTGTCAACTGCCTTAGTGAAGAATGTGTTCCTTTGCTGTCTCCAAGGATTTCTCTGAAGGAGACTGGTTTCCCTCTGCTCAGTGCCTGGGTTTTAAGAATCCCCTTGTTTATCACATACCAGGTCACAGCTTTGTAATTTTGCAAAATGCCTAAGGAATTACTTGTTCATCTCTTCTAAAGACTTTGTATGATGCAAGACATGAGCAAGATTTAATAGAAACACCAGCTTTAGCTGGTTTCAGGAGTACGAGATCAAAGAAGATCCTCTTTCTTGATCAAAGTGTTGACTACTGCCAGCAGGATTGCTTTTCTAATGAACATACCCACTATAAGGTATCCAATTTTGTACAGGTTTTGCAATTTTAAGTCATCTGTACTGGTGGACTTGAGTACCGTAAGTTTAGTGGCTAGTCTTATTTCTGCAGTAAAAAATCCTACAGCATTGGTCAAGTTTATCAGAGAGCTGCTGAGCATCATCGCATGTGAGCTCATGACTGAAGTGTCAGCAGAGCTTCTTTTCAATACGACAAACAACTTTATCCATCAAAAACCTGTTCTTAGAATGGGAAGAATTCAACATGTCAAATTTTCTAGAGCTGACTATTTCATTTTCTGCTTAGAAGGAACACAGAGAAGCTACTAAGGTGTGAATACTTTGAAATGTCTAAAATAATCACAGGTTTAATTTATTTCTGTAAGAAACACTTGACAGTTCTATGTATTTCAATGCACAAGAGTTCACAGGAGTTACATTCACATCATGAGAGTCAACATGGAAGAGTAAGGCAATTTTGAATGTAGAACCCTTAAGTTCAACAGTCTGACAGGGTCACATTTCTTGGTATGATTGTTGCTTTTAAATACAACTCCATGAAATAAATGGCATCCTGGTGCCCAGGAGAATTGTTCCTAAACAAATGGGTTCCTGTGGGACAGTTAAAATGGCTCCTAGCTCCTTTCATCTACAGCTCAGGTAAGGGTTATGGCTGGGGTGTGATCAGAGCAGCTTTTGAATGGTTGGCGAGCATTAACTGTTGCCTTTGGGAACAGAAGTAGCCAGTAAGTAAAAGCAATGTGCTGTAATTTACAGTAGGAGTATGAAACCTATATAAAGCTACAGTAGCATATGGAGAGAATAAAAACTTCCTGCTGTTTCTCCTCCTGTCCCTCTGCCGATGCACATTGCAGCCACTTGTGGTCATAGACAAGGATTTGGTCCTTTCAGTCTATGTTTAGATCAGTTCCTTTGAGACTGAAAAAGTATGGACATAATCAAAATCAGGACTCATAAAGGGTACTTCCTTACTCAATGCATCTCAGCTATGTTGTCAGAATGCATAATTTCCTGAATGATGTTTACCAGAGATGCATTAAATCACAGAATTTGGATTTGCACTTTCCCAAAGCTCCAGGCTGCTCATTTTAGGAGCAGCAGCTCAAGGCCACCTCTCAGCTAGGCAGTTTTAGCCATGCAGAGCCAATGCAGTTTGTTGACATGGAATTGCAAGAATTTGTTTCCTGCACAATTGAGTCAAAAGTTAATGAATTATAAGTGGTAACTCTATTATTGGTGATCATAGATATGCAGAAAGAAATCAGGCTTGACTCTCACATTTCAGGATTTATGTTTAAAGAATGGGCATTAAGACAAGATGTTATACTTGTTAGCTGATCAGACTGAGTCTAGGGGCTGTGTCTCACTGCAGTCTGACTACTGTGACTTTTCAGACTGGAACTTCTGACATGATGAACAGGCCTTCTTAACTATATAGTTAAAACACGCAGAGACACAACTGCTTCCCTGCATTAGTTGTAAAGTTAGAGATTTAATATGGGAAGAGTAGTATTTCCTAATATGCAAGAGTTAGACAAATTTCTTAACAAGTCTTATAAATAACAAGTGAGTAAGAGAGGACCTACATTTATATGAACCTTGAGGACTACCAAGTCTAAGTACTTTGAAGCTTGGTGCATTGTAGGTGATTTGGTGCCCTCAGCCGGCTTTATCTGGAACAGCTTACAAGTGAAATTTTATTTAATTCTGCAGAGACATAACAAAATGTGATTCTCTGAGTGGCACGGCAGTGCTAAGAAGGCTCCACTGGAGCCAGAGTGAGAAGAATCTGGACACGTGAGAACCTTCCCTAAGGTTTCTAAAGTAGCAGAGATTTAACTAAACCTTTCAATCCTGTAAGGTATTCCAGTTAGGTTTAGAATGAGAATCAGGGTTTTTGCCTCTACAATCACTATCAGAAAGATAAGGAAAGAACAGGTAATATCACCAAATGCTATAGCTGAAAAAAACAGACATGTTTCTAGGCATGTAAGTTCTTTAAAACTAGTAATTTTCTGGCCAATGTCCAATGTTCCACAAGAAATATATCACAGTATTAGTAATCAGAACATTGGCTTTGTAGACAGAGGTTCAGGCACCTTTGCTACCCTTTCTAATCTGAAATTCACTGTTTGTTTAAATCCATTTACAAAATCTAGGCTTTTTGTTTATCAAAAGCACGTACCTTCGTGGAAGTCCTCCCACTTGGGCAGTGCAAACTCGCAGCATGTTTAGAGTTTTTATCGGGTTTAGTGACATGGTAGAAAGAGTTCAAACTATTTAGGCACCCAGCTCTGCATCTGGGTAGATTCTGAGCACAAAGAAAGTGGTAGTTTAAGTATTTCTATCCAGTTCTTGCAATACTAGTATGAGAATATAATACCAAGAAAGGTATCTCCAGCTAGTTTTGAGGAATAGATTAAAATGTAATTGAAGATGTCATTAACTGACAACCCATATTGAATAAGAGCTCTTTATCTCTTCTTACAAGAGAGAGAACACAGTTAGTGATGGTTGGCTTTATCTTTTCTTTAAAGGCCTGTGAGTGTAGGACCACCTTCAAAGACAGTAGACAATTCCTAGTACAAAAGGGCAGAAATGCACAGGTTTGGACTGGAGAACCTTGGAAGGGCAACCTGCTTATTTAGGTTTGATTCTTGATTTTGTCCCCATGCATAATTCCCTGTAATAATTAATGAGAGAGCCAAGAACCATGAAGATGAAGTTACTGCAATGTAGCACAAAAGTGCATCAGGCAGATTTACATATTTTGGGAGTTCGTGACTGGGAGAAGAAAGTAGTTCAATAGATCAAGATAAAGAGGTATATGAATGGGCTTGAGAAACCTCTGCCTTTAATTTAAACAGTTAGACCTTTAATATCATGGACAGCTAATCAGTTTATAACATACTTGGCCACAAAAGTATAATTTTTTCTAACGAAAATAATGCTTGAGCCGAGATAATGGGAACCTGTTCCTCTTACCTGTACAAACTTCTCCAGGGCTTGTCTGTCCAAGCATGTGTAGTTCTGCAGGAAGTTGAGCTTCTCCAGCTGGAACTGGTCCCGAAAGTGGGTCTCTGCCTGCTTCTCAAGCAGCTGGAACACCATAGCACCCAGGAGGAGGTAAAAGAGATACCCCAGTACCAGCAGTGGAGTCCAGCTGATCCGCCGGTTGTGTATGGCGAGGAGGGGCATGCTGCTGCTCTGCTGTTGCCAGTCTCTGCTCAGTACTTAACAGGTTACTGTCCCAAGATATGTGCTACCCAGAACACCCAGAAATCACACACCTATGTTCCCAGCTACTGCCCTGGAGAATTTTTTAATAGAACATACAGGTATCAGGGCTATATGAAATGAGACTAACAGAGAAATTTTATCCCTCCACGTCTGTTCTCTATCCAGATTAAAAGGTGAGCATTTATGGCTTAATAAGAATGTGAATGATAGTGTTTTTCTCCTATTAAAACAACTTTTATCCAAAAATCTTAATCAAATGAATGAAGCCCTCTGAGGATGGTATTGGTTTCCAGGCTGGGAAGCTGAATCAAAACTGTGGTTATATGACTTACCCTGGGTCATATGAATATGGAGTCACGGATAGACTCTTAAAGTCTTGACAAGTAAAGCCTTACTCTAAACACTAGACTTCTGTACAAGAAAATGCTATAAACTCTAATTACAGCAGACTCTCCAGAACAAAGAAGAGTATGGAGCTGAATAAATGGAAAAGTCAATAGCTGCCGTCTGTACCATACAAACATTGCTGGCACCAGTAAAAGCAGCATGATGGAGCTTATAAACATCCTGAATTCAGCCTGGTCACACAACAGAACCTTTCTTTCTTTTCTAACCCTAATAAAATCAATCTCACTGCCTGGTGTGCTGCTCCTGAACTATTTGTCAGATGACTCCACTCTTTAGTCCATAGAGTTAGAGAATGCACCACACATGCCTACTGCTTTCTCTCTCCATATTGCCTTTTTAATCCAAGTGCATAAGGGGGAAGGAGGGCTTAAGGTTAATCATTGGCCAAAAAAGTATCAGAGGTTCACTCATGGGAGCCTTAATGATTATCATGCACTGGAAATGAGCTGGGCTTGCATATTTTTCTGTAGGAACAGCTTTATGGCAAGCGTTATCTATGCTACACTGCTTCCAAAAGAAAACACACACAGAGAAAGAAGGCCAGGTGGCTAGGGATGCAATTTTGTTATTAAACTCCCTTCCTGTTAAAATGTTCTGGATACAGATATCCCTCCTTTGCTTAGCATTCAGATTGTTTTCACCTACCTTTGAAAAAGAATTAGTGCTCACAGAAAAAGACCAAAAAAAATTACTTCATTCATATCCTATTTGGGAAAATCCCTGTACTTGCCATTTGTACTGTGCTTGTAGCCTAGAGCCAGGCATCATCCAGAAGAGGATGAGTGACTGGCAGCAGAAGGCTACTTAGCACTGTGAAAAGTGAAAACTATTGTGGACAACTCCAAGGAGACCATCTTGGACTTTTGTCTGCTACCACTCTGTTGGTGTGACTGAGGGACAGAAAGACTGCAGTAGAGAAGTGCAATGTGGAAGGACTCCGAGCCTTGGTGCTCTGGCATTTCTTTTCAGCTGAAAAAGTGAAACATTTGGGAGATAGAAGTTACAGTGGGATTGAAATTACTGAGCACAGCATTGAAATTACTGAGCATTTCAACATTATGAAGCAATCTGATCTGAAGCCACTAAGATGCCCAACTGACAGAAGGTCTTCTCTTGGTCTGTGCTGAGGGTGACAATTACTTAGTATCTAACAAGAACACCTCTGTTGTGTCTGATTTCCATAACTAAAAGGTACAGCTTGTTGTTCCATACCTTATGCCACGGTAAGGCTTGACAAGCCTGGGATGTTGCACAACTGCTTGTTATACTAGCAGGGCTGTCTCTGGTGACAGATCCAGGTGTTTGACATGTTGTTTATAGGACCTATGTCTACCATGCCAAGAGAATGACAATCGACTGGTTTTCTGGAATGGGTGCAAACCCATCTGCATAGCTGGGCTGAGACAAATTTTCTCAGCTGAAGTACGTTTCACAATTAAGGGTATGAAACTAATAAGATATAAATGAAAAAATAGAGCACTGAATCTCTCTTATGTTCCCTTCCATTCTGTTCAGTTCAGTTCAACAAAGCATTCCAGCTGCCAAACTTGACAGTCTAAATTATGCCTTAAGAAAAAATGTCCACTCAGGCTTTCTTTTGGGATCTTAATTTTCTGAGGGTGTTGTGAATTGGGTCACTAAAATTATAAAGGTGTTTTTACTTCTATACTGTAGTTATTCCTACTGGTTTGTTTTTTCCCTCCTTTAGTATAAGGTTGCAATATAGGAATCAAACAAAGCCAGATTGTGTGCAGCAGCCCAGAAGTTATGTCTTGCTACAGGAAAAAAGAAACTCAAATATATACATTTAGAAGTAAACTGAAGACTTATGATTTTTGTGTAAGTTTTGAATCTGGAAGAGGGAGTTCAGCACAGCTTACCACATCAGAAATTAAATTTGGTTTCGAGGTAAAAAGGCATAATATACAAAGTGCTGAAATAACAATACTAGCAGATCCCTTTTGTTGACAGGATGACAAAGCACATTGTCTAATCTAACTTCTCTGTTCCTCTTCTAATGCTCTTCTGATTAAAAAATAAATAAAACATGAGTTCACAAACAGAAATAAAAAGTCCTGAATGCAAGAACTTCTTAAGAATAGCTGAACTTGGAAGTTGACTGTTCCTCAGAAGTCCTGCTTTTCCTGCCACAGGAGTGCATCTGGTCTCAAAGCTCAGGAATGATTTCTCACGACATATATTTTGAATCTAGGGCTGAACAGAACCTCCTTGATTATTCCTTCACTTTTCATATTTTTCTTCCTCAATGTGACTGACCCAATAGGATCCAGCTTTTTTCACAAAAAATCTGAGCCAGTCTGGAAAGGACAGATACCAAAATGACATCCCGGTTTACAATCAACATAATAGTAATTTTTTCATGTATTACTTGGAGCAAATCAAAGGATTCAGGGTTCTCCAATTGCTTCACCTATTGTTGTTACAGTCCCTAACAGACTTAAACATGGATAAATACAAAATAAGGGATGGGCCAAAAATAACTGACATGGTTTGCTCACTTTCTGCACTGGTTTTCAAAAGCCAGAAAAAATACCATTGTGAGGAGTATAATTTACATTGACATAAATAAGCTGTTCCTAAAATAAGTAATAAAATGGTTGAAAGATACCTTGGCTGATCCTGTCATTCACAAATTTCTGATGAAGAATGATTTTTCTGGACTAGTTTTTCTGGTAGAAATGTCTCTGTACAGAACTAGTTGACAAAGTGGATGTAAAGCTCCAGGGATCCATTCTTCCACTTGCTATGCATTTCAGGTTGAACGGTTTGTACAAGGAAAGACTTAATTGTTTTTAATTTGCTTTGCTCCTTGAATGACTTTTAGACTCTGCACTTCAGAGAAGAATTAAGGAAATTATTTTAGCACTATGTTAAGTATAAATAACAGAGCCATTGTATTTCTTCAGGCATGACACTGCCATCTGGCAATTTTCTACTTCTGATCTTGTTCTTACTCCAAAATGAAACCAATCATGATTGATGTGATTTATGTTCACATAGGTGAAAACGTGAAGCATTTTCAGATAAAAAGTATAAAGAATTCTAAGATTTCAACAGTATTTTTCTCAGACAGATTCCATGGGAAGAAGAAATAATTTCCTTGAATTCTGTGGTTATTGTATTGGAAGTAGATCTTGTTTTGTGTTCTTCATCTAAATAAATACATTTAAGTAAATCCACTGTTGGCCCACAAATACAATTATTTGTTTAGTTCGCTGTTTGTATCAAATGAAGCACTGCAGCTGCCCAAAAAAATGAACAGAGAATAATCTTCAAACAATCTCAGATGCAGCCCCTGAGATTTCTCTCAAGGAAGAGGGAAAAGAAATCTTTAGTTTTATTGTGGTGGCGTGAAATCAAGGCATGCATAGTAACCACTTATAAATATCCAGTTTACATTGCTTGTCTTATAGGTGAGATTTCAAACCAAACATTGCAGGAAGTGAAACAGAAAAAAAAATTAGAAAAAGATCATTTAACATTGACTTAAGCAACAATAAAAATGATTCATCTGAAATCTAAAACCAGAAGTTTGATTGTTGTGGTTATTAAAAATGGACTTTGAAAAGACAAATAAATTCTATATGGAGCTACCAAATATGCTATATGTAACAGGACATTCCCAGATGTTCATCTTCTTGGCATTCATATTCACCACCTGCATATTTGGTAGAGGCAACATTTACAAGATCTTAACATTTTATTATGTTGAAGTGTTCTCAGTTTATACTATTGACATAAAATACTTGCATCCTGTGATTGATTAAAACTAGGTAAGTGTATATTACATTACATGCTTACACTGTCACACATGTGAACCTCATTATTCCATTTCAAAGCCTCTTTCTTAAAAAGTGCAGGAGTGATAGAAGAAGATTGAGTTAGGCATGTCCATCTTCCAAGCAAGAGAAATTCAACTTACGGTTATGTAATTTTCTTTTTGATGCTCTCTGGAAAGCTGCAGCGGCCAGGAAGTGGTAAAGTGCCCAAGCCAAGAGCTTGTTATCTTAAGGGTTTCCTAATACTGTTCCAGACTGTGTATAGAGCCCTGGCAGATTCAGCATAAATGAGAATAGAGCCTTTGACCTTTATTGTAAGTCTAGGTCACACCCTGACCCTTCCAGAAGCTACATTGCTGTAGGAGACCAGAGGATGTGTATCTTTTTCTGAAATAAACCATGTAGAAGATTGGAAATGTGTTGAAATACAAGATGATCCACAGTGTGTGGTATCAATTAATCCCAGATATATCTATATGATATCTAGTACTCTACAGCTACTTCCTCCAGAAATCTCCACCAAAAAAAGAAGATTTATTCTGATTGCAGATGATAAAAAAATGGTATTTACCATATGAACATTAAACCAAATGCAACTAGATATCATGGTGAATTGACAGGAATTAGATATGTATGAGAATTTCCATGCTTAGCAATACTGTTTTACATGTGGCTTAGGGAGGAGTCAATACCAGTATAAATGTGGGCCTCTGATTGTTTCTTCAATGTGGTAAATACTTGGGTTATTTCAAATTAATCTTGAAATTATATGAAGAAAGATTATTAGAACAAGCAACTTTGTTCACCTATGGCCAACTAAACTTTTTGAAGCAATAAATGCTTTCATGAAGCCAAGTAGACTTAGAGAAGTGCCCCAGTAGCCTTCTCACACCTGTGAAAAAGACATTAAGAAGCCGGAGCCAGGCTTTTGACAGTGTGGCTTGCGAGAGGAAGAGAGATAATGGGCAAAAAAGAAAAGTTCAGGCTGGACATAAGGGAAAATGTTTTCATGATGAGGACAGTCAAACATTGGAATGGACTGCTTAGAAAGGTTATGCAGTCTCCATCCTTGGAGGTTTTCAAGACCACATTGAACAAAGCCCTCAGCATCTTGGTTTGATCTCATAGCTGATGCTGTTTTGAGGAAGAGGTGGGATTAAAGGCCTGCTGAGGTCCTTTCCAACCTGACTTTTCCTATAAACCCAAGAGGCAACTTTTGAAAAGTGGAGGCAGTTTCTTTAAAAAGAGAATGCTTTATGTCTGAAGACTGTTGTTTACTGAATGAGCAATCTTTTCTTTCCATATGATATTATGAAATTTTTCAAAGAAGTAAGAAAGCTTTGTATTTGTATATATGGTTTTATATATTTATATGGTTTTCTATTACTGGCTGCACTTTTGTCCAGGTTCTTAAGTGTTTGGTATAATCTTACTCACAGACTATTTTGCCAATCAAGGACTACTTTGTTGACAATGATTGAATTTCACACCAAATCTACAACCATGTAAAAACAGGCTAGAGAATTTTGAAACAGAAGAGCAAGGAATTTTTTCTCTCTGTGAGAGAGATGTGAGGCAAACTGAGAACAGAACACTGAATCATCAAGTAATAGCAGCATCACATAGATACCAGGGTTGCACTGGTATCCTCTTAACCAGTTACTTAAAGCTATTGGAAATGCTTCAATGTCAAAAGGGAGGAGTTTTTGTACCGGTGATTCTCTTTTGGCCACCTTCATATAAATTCACCACAACAGGAATTCTACTGGAAACCAAAAAAGACAGTTGCTTCACGCAGCAATGTTTTGGAACCTCTGGCTCTTCTCCAGCTAGCAGAGTCAGTGGCCCTGCTCTCCTCAGAAGCTGCATAAACAATAACTCAGTGTATATTTAATGCAGTGTTTATATATAACAGAGTGAGAAGAAGAAAGACAGATAAAAATTCTGGAAGAGGGACATTTTAATATAATCTCCAACAAAGCAGCCATTTTTCCACCTCTGACCAAATCCTGGAACTCTCTCTTTCCAAAGCAAGAGTAGACTTGACTTTTATCTCACCTTGTACATACTAAATCCTGCATAAAGATTACCAATTTATGTGGTAGCTGTGCTGACTTTTATAGAAAATTAAAAGGCAAAAAAGGTATAAATTTATTTTTTTAAAATTGATTGCATATTAGTTGTTAATTAGATAAATGTATATCTTCTGTAGGTTTGAACATAGCAATTCACCATGTACCTCTGTATAATTAGGAATTTGACACAGAATTAAGTATCAACAACTTAAAGAAATATACATCCTTAAGAATATGTGACTTCTGTCAATATATTCCTTTATTTTTATATAAACAACCCAAATCCTTCCAAATGCATGACTATAAGATTATCACTAGCATGAAAAATTATATTTTCAATCTGATAGTAAGCATATCTCAGAGAAATAGACTGTATTTTGCATTGCATTTTTTGATTTTGGTCTGATGTGTAAAATAAGTTGTTACATACCCAGATATTATTCAATAAAGTAGTACTGAGCCAATAGTGAACTTACATTGTATATAAGATATAACTGCATTTAAACTTTCACATCTCATTTGTGTTTTAGAAGTATTTGCTCAGTTCTATTTTAAGCCTCTTAAGTGTAATTGTTTCTTCTGAAACCTGTATATTCTGGGAGGGTATATATTTTGCACAACACTTAATGCATTCAAATAAAAAGAAAACAGTTGGGAAAATTACTTTCTAAAATACATTTTTTTATATTACAAGACAACCTCAGTATTCTAATAATCTGATATGAAAACATCTATTCCTTGGAGAAAAAAAAAGCCTCAAATGAAATTCTATAGAATTTTATAACCCAGATAACTACTATTATTGAATAGATATCTCTTAATGGCAAATAGGTGGAATTAATAAAGCCTTATACAAATTGATGCAAACAAAACTATCAGTAGTAATAAATTTCCCAGATTAAAGGTGTAGAATAGCATTAACACATTAGATAATTTTAACATTTAGAAAACATACAATGAATTGCCGCAAACAAACATATTTGGCGAACTCCTGATTAGTTGTTTCAGCTTTGCTTAATCTTAATGCAAGATGAAGATAGTGAGTGCAAATACTCAAAAATCTATTGCCAGAGAAATGGATTTTGCTGTCAAAGACAAATCATTTATATGCCTTTAACAATTAAACCTGTACGTCTAAAGTACTTACTTGTACCTGTTTCTAAACAGAACAGGAAGGGAAAGAATAAAGGTCTTTCACTGTTTCTAAAAGGAAATAGTGGACTGTGACAAGAATTTCATTTGTTTTCCAAGCCTGAAAGGAGATAAATAAAACATTAGACTATATTTCAGGTTGCATTGTCAGTTTTAAAACAGACTTCAGAAACACAAAAGAGAAGAAAGAAGAAAAAATCTTTTAATTTAAAACTTTAAGACACAAAATCATTAATGTTCTCTTCTGTGTTTTTATTTCTCTACCTCAAGACTGAACAAGGCAACAAAAGCATGTTTGAAGAGTAGCCCTTTGTAAAAAGCTTTCCAATGTAGTTATTACAATGCTTTAACAATCCCAGCAAGGCCCTGTGAATGTACCTGCTTTAATTCCGCTCTGTTTAGAAAGCAAATGGTAACGACCTACAATCCCTGAGGTAATCTTTACTGAGACCTCTCATTCCCACTCCTGCATTACTGTCACTAAGGATATTGAGCATTCCCATGCTTTCTGTGTATGGAACTTATTTTCCACTCTGTTGGCTTCTGCACACATTTATCCTTCCCCCCCCCCCCCAACTAATGTAAAGTAAGGCCCTCAGTTTGCTTCTAAAATACTGATATAGAGGTTTGAAAGGGTCAGGATCAATAAAGGAAAGAGCAGTAATGATGTTGACGCTTTTTAGACCTAGCAGTCTTTGGTTTGGCTGACCCTATGCTTCCTCATGTTGTTTCCTGCAGGGCACTATGTGTGTTAAGAGTCATGCAGAGTGTGAATACATTTGCATGCAAATACAGAAAAGATTATTGAATATCCCAGTCGAAGAGAGTTTGGGAAGGAGGCAACAGAGCACTAGACTGGGATGCAGCACACTTAGTTTCTATGTGAAAGTGCCTGACTCAGCTTAATGTGTTTGGGCAGATAATTTCTCTTTGGTTTATTTTGTATACGTTTGAAACTTCTTGAGGAAAAGTTATGTGGGAGACTGGTAAAACATAATTTTTTTCCCCTGAAGTTATAAGTGAGAGTATATTCATTCTTCTTCCTCTCTACCTAACTGTACATCTGATAGTTTTTCTTTTTGGGGGCAGGAATGGGGACATCATAGTCCCCATCCCTGCCACCCAAAAGAACACCCTCCAGTTCTGCTCCGCTTTGGATGCAAGTGTTATTGGAAACTCTATATAGCCATTGATGCACAAACACTACAGCAGTTATTGTATCTCCTTTTAGTCTAGAAACAAATCAAGTAAGAGTGAAATGATGTGCTCACAGGAAAAGGGAACCCATAACACGCATAACACTATCACAGATGCAGGAATAGTGGTTTGCTGAGCCCATTTTCTTCTCCGAATTAGAAAGGCTACCACTGTACCTCATAAATGCCGTCAGGTTTCACTGTGGTTCTGAATCACAAAGTACTTCTTTAGTAGTACTAATCTGTAGATTTTACCCTCCTTCATCTTGCTAAATTAGAATTTACAAAAATTTTTTGCTCAATGGTTCCTGCTATTGGTTCCATCCCTCAAATCTGGAAGGCTTTCCCTTTCCACAAGAGCAGTCAAGGAAAAAAAGCATTCTTTTATATGCTAGGTTGACTCCAAATCCTTCTCAGAACTTGCTGCTGAGCTATCTCTTTTCTATGACACATCAGGTCCCTACACAATTTGTTATACTAAGGCCTCTAATTTTTGTTCTGCTGCCTATGCTTAGCAATTGGTTGAGTCATCCAGCCCTGCACTACCAGGATGATCAAATGCTACTCCATTCCTTTTCATCTACTTAGGGCAGCTCATCTTGTCTAACTGAACTTCAGAACAATTCCAAGTATTGAATGTCCTTTGTTCTGAAAGAATACCTTTTATGACTTGGGGTCTAAATAGCTGTCTATGTTGATAATTTCTAGTCCCTTCTGAAACTGATGGATGATGGTAGGTAATAGCCTGTGGCTGAAAACAATCAGGATGGAAAAAGCATTGAGAGAGACATTTCTGACATGGTATGATTTAGGAGATAATCACAGATGTGCTCTTGTCACAGATTGAGTTAGATTTGGACCTTCTAAAGGCCTGAAATGTTTGTTGTAAGACACTTATCTCTAACCTTCTTCTGGTGAGCTGCCTATAAAATCAACTTAATTTCATTTGCAGAAGAAACCTGACAACAGCTTTTCTGAATAAAGACAAAAGGGATCCCAAAGCCTAAGTGTGTTAAGTGTTTGCTTTGGATGAGTGGAGGGAGACTGTTTTTTCAGCCACTGTATGTTTACCTGACAGTTTTCTGATAAGCAGTGTGATACCAAAGCCCCACTTTGTGACAGTGCTAACACCATCTGCCAGGTGCTGATAGCTTGTTGAATAATGCTGTCATCAGTACTAAAGTGCTGATGGAAAGTTATTGCTTCAGTAACCACTACAGCTTTCATCTTCTGTCTAATTGGTTGCTGCCACTGAAAACTATTACTCAGAAGAAAAAAAAAAAGAAAACCACAGGTCATTTTTCTTTATCATGATGAATTACTTTTAGGCTGCCTTGCAGTGCCACCATTGTTTATTTATTGCTTTCTGCTTCCTGCCAATTTTACTTATCTACACTCTAGAGTGAACTTTATTACATACCTGTGATTACTCTCAGTACCTGGTTTGATACAGTTTCATTAGACCTTGATATAGTAAAATATCTGTTAAGGAGATACTCTGATGGACACAGTGGGCCAGTCTGCCTCCTGAGGTAGAGTACAGTGAAGTCATTTGAGTAATCTTTATTTGGAGACAGTTGTTACAACTAAATTTGTATCAGATGAAAAACAGGCCAGATAGTTTAAAGAAAAATTTGGAAGTATTTTAATCACCAAGAAACCTCATTCGAATGCATTTACTTAAGGGTAAAGTAATATACTTTGCAGGCTGCACAGCCATGCATGCCCCAGAAAAGTTCACTGATGGTGACTGAGTAAAATAGAGAGCGTGCACAGTTTTGCACTGCAGCACTGGGCTACTAAAATAAATACATGTGAAGAACCTCAAGTGTTTAGAATGGCTGAGAACATAATGTAACGTAACTGAAGCCAGAATCAGTTCTCACTTGATTCAGTATAATGTGGACTACAGCTATTTTGGCTTTAAAATGCTGTACCAGAGATTTTGGTTTGGCTTCCTAACTTTTTGGCAGGATTTACCTTTCTTTTGCAGGATCCTCTGTCTTGCTCTAATGAAAGCTAGGATGTCAGCATCAGCCTGGCTGTCTCCAGTCAGAGGAATAGATGTACTTGAACTTTGTGGGGTCCTGAAATAAGAAGTATACTTGTGGACTCAAGTGAGTAAGGTTAATTTTTCTATCTCCTCTTTTTTCACCATGGAGGACTTTGTTCTTCCATACATTGTTGGAGATGGTACATTTTAGAGGAGAACTGAGTCACGACTTCTTAATGGTCTTACATAGGTTCCTAAGATTAGCCAATATTAGTCAATATTAACCAATTAGCTAAGGTTAGAACATGGTAAGACTACATGCTTATCAGCTATAAAGCCTCTCACAAAGGGTTAAAAATATTTTACTGCTGAGTCAAAGACTCAGCCAGTGGAAAAGCCTAATGTAGTGAGTTTATGAAGGAAATGATGGATGTGACTATGCTGTGGGTTTGTTTGCTTCAGGCTGCTATAAATTTGAACAGATCAATAGTATTTTTGCCTACTATGAAGGAATTAAATTTTCATCCATACACAGAAGTAAACAATCACATGACATTCATGACATTTCCTGACAGATGCAACTTCTTTCTGCTGCTGAGTCTCCCGTCCCAGCTGAACACTTGTGCACATATGCACTCAAATCATTGACTCTCCAGTGGTATAAGATGATGTAATACAATGAAGCTGTTCTAATCAGCTAAGAAAGCTAAGAATTTGAGCCTGTCTTTAACCTTGGTTAAAGCACTAATACAGTGCTTAATCTTCAAACAAATACATTGACAGAAATACAGTGACAAAAATTTCAAATACAGAAGGACAAGTGGAACTGAAGGGACAAACCTTTTTTTTGCATATCCTACATTTGTAATTATAGTTATTTCCTCTGTTCCTTACTGACTATTGCAGTAGAAGGTAATTGTGACTGACATAAACAGCAGTCTGATATCCTTATCTTTGTTCAACTAATGAAGTTCTCACTTGCTGAATCAGTGAACCAAAATGGAAAAAAAAAGTAGAAATTACCCCCCCTATTTTTATGAAATTTACAAGGTAATTGTAGAACACCAGTAAAGAACTATTCTCTCATTAATTTTCATTTGATTAGCATCAGTATAAAAAATAAAAAAACACAATATATTTGAGAAGGTATCGTCTAAACTCCATTTTAGCTTCTCTTTTTCTTCTGCTTTTCCTGAACCCAAATGCAATTTAAAACATTTAAACAGGTTTTGGGGGATGAAATTTTCCAATTTTTTTCTGTTTTGGATTGTTTTGGAAAATGAAAGAAAAAAACCCTTGTGTTTTGTTCTTACTAATGCAGTATCAAAAATAGTATTTTCCTAAAGGCCTTAATACCCAGAACTGTTGAGCACAATAAGAGTATAACTTCAGTAAGTATAACACTGTGACTCAGCACAGTGTTTCAGTGTGAGAAAAGAATATGGAAATGAACACCCTAGAAAAAAATAAAGGCTCAAAAAAAGAGTTTGCTATCCTGCTAAGTTAATTTTCACGAAACAGTACCTCTTTTGAGAAAACATGACATGTAACCTTTTCCAAGCCTGACACACCTGAACTACTATTGTCATTTTATTTTAACAAAATAATTTGTAGGAGGACAAAATTTTAAGGGCAAAATTACAAGTATGAAAAGAATCTCTGCCTAGTTCCTGCATTCTGAAATTCTGCAATATGTAAATACTCTGATGTCTCTTCTTTTCAAATATTTTATTTACTCTGAAAGAGTCCCTTTCTCTGGGGAGAGATACTCATGAGGATTCATTAGCTTATAGGGAAAAAAGCCTCAGGCCAAACAAGAAACCACATCTTTAATGCTGATAATGCAGCTGACTGGTGTAAAGCTATGTGTCAGCCTTGTTGTTGTTTTGGAAGTTGGAGGAAAATCTGCAAGTTCTATTACATTTTTATTTTTCGAAGAGACTGTTGTTAAATAGTCTGATGGAGAATTATCTAGGCACTGTACTACTTAGTACTTTGCTTTTTCCTCTGAATAGCCCAGGTACACTTCTTACCTTGTTTTTAAAGTCGGATTACTAAAAGTGATGGAATTGTTTTTCCCGGCTGGATCTTCATTAGGGCTGACTCTTGTGGTCTCTGAAAAACTGGAATGGGAAATGAAGAAATGAAGGAAAAGGAAGGAAATGAAAGAAACGAAAAAAGAATATAATCCTTGTGTAGCAAATATGAATACATACACTAAGTAACTACAAAGATGTTTTTCAAGTTTTTTTAGATCTATATAAAGCACTTGTTTACTGGAAGAAGATTTTCAGTTTAATCCATATGACGATTAGATCTGCGTAGCTATGTGGCTATGAAAGAATGACAAATAAGCTCATAAAGATCATACTTTTAGTATTTGCCTTCTAAGCTGGGCTTGTAAAGCACTTTGATGTATCTGATTTAGAGTTAGGAATGGTATATTTAGTTCCCAAACTGACTATTAGCCAAGTGAGGCCTTAGCTCATTTTCCATTCTTTCTTTAGTCAGGCAAAATTATTATGAAAATCAGTGGGAGACTGGATAAAGACTCAGTGAGGACTTTGGGATGTGACTTGTTGATGATAGCCAAATATATTGCAAACAGCTGCTGTGCGTTCCTGCCCCTGCAGATACGATTATCAAGGAAGCTCACTGCTAGGGAGGCAGTTTTCTGCCATTGGATATCTAGGGACTCTCTTCTTTCCCCAGGGGTTGCATATGCTGTCGGATCCAGTCCCAATCTTAGAGTGGAAACACTGAATTACTCAGTTTAAGGATTTTTCCAGTAGATGGCAGGATTGGCAAGTTCTTGCTTTTCTAACTCTGCAGTAGTTCGTTCATTGTTGGCTGATGAATTGATATTTCTGGCAGAGAACTTGAAAAAGGAAAAAAAATTTATTACTAAAATTTTACTGTATTACACTGTGCCAGGTTCAGTTTTGCAGAAGATATCGTGCCCAGGAGTATAAGTCATTTTCAGATGAATAGTTTTAGTTTTGCTGTATGTTCCTCTTTAACTCCTCAAGTCCTATGCCATTCACACCTGCCTAATTCAACTAAAGCATTATAGTATTTGAAGTTAATAATTTTCTGTACTTTATTACACCTACATATTACAAGAGCTAGAAAGGATGTGTGATGTTATTACCTACTATGTGGTTTAACAATATCTGGGAACTTCACATCATCATTCCGCCTTAGGATTTCCTGAACATTTTTTCCATTGATTTGGCAGTTCTTAAAAAAGAAGTGATTTAGGCTTTTAAATTCAGTTTTCTAAAAGCACTCTGTGTTAGTACCCTGAGATACCTAGGCATCCAAGTCATATAATCGTGGTTTAATGAATCACTATACATCAACTAAACCATAGCAACCATCCACGACTCTATTCTTAGCCTACAACAAATGTAAGGTAATGTGACTTAATGTGATTCTTTTTCATTGATTTCTTTTAATTGGAATAAGCTTATTTGCTTTTTATTTGCCACGCATGAAATGTATAATTTTACAAATACTGTGAGTCAGCTGAAGTATTTTATTTTTAAACTGCAGTAGTTTATGATTGGAGCTATTTTTTTTCCATTGAATTTAAATTAAGCTTATTATTCAAAATTGTTAAATCCCCATTTTAAAGGGGATTTAGATTCAGAATAATTAAAAAACCCTAGACTGTTCTTAGATGTCAGGACTCTCCTCCTTCATCTGAGTGTTAGATGCTGTTCCAGTGATGAGAAATTTTCTAGTAATGCTCTAAATTTATTGGAAAGTCATTATGACAGCATGGGGTGGGGGTAATGATACCCCTCTCTGTGCACTAAGCCGGAAGGACTGGACATCTCAGGATGCTCAACAAAGCCAAACAAAACCATAGCTGACCTGCTTTAGTGTGATGATGGTCTTCTTCAAGCAAGAGGTTGGTCTAGAGATCTCTAGAGGTGCCATTGAACCAAAATTTCTGTAATGTGCAAACAGGCACTCCTGGATCACATTTTGGATTTGGATGGACATACAAGGTATATAAGGCCTATCTCTTTGTCTGTCTCCTAAGCTCTAACATCATTCGGGTTGTTTTGACAATGTATAATTCCCATTCTCATTCTGAATCTATCTGATTTTTCCTTGAGTTGAATTTAAGAAGTCTCAAAACACTGTTTCCTGACAACTTCAGTAAAATTCCTGCTTTTTTTCTGGAGATTAAAGATAGTCTGTCAGATTCGTTTGTTTTTGTTTCTCAAGTTGGTTTTTTTAACCTAGTACCTGAAGTTCCACCCAGTGGATAACTTGCTCTTTTGGGGGGTAGTGGGGGTATCCTCGATTGAGGGTATATTTCTCAGTCAGGCATGGAGCAGCAGCTAGAGAAATGTACACAGTGTTGCAGCAGTACTTCCCTTGCTGCAGTAACCCAAGGACCAGAAACAACTGACCCATGGACTGATCAGCTCCATCAAGCACACAGGGTAGAGAAGCTGGAGAGATGATGCATCTCATAGTACGAATGCTTAATCTGCCAGCTGAAAAATAGTGGAAAATCAGGTAGATTAAAATAGAAAGTGAAAAATTCGAAGGTGTGCAACCTCTGCAATGTTAAAAACCCCTCAGCTGCAGTTCTCCGGTCATCTGAGCCTTAGACATGAGGGGAACAGATGTTCTGTGTAAAGATAGGAAAGATTCAAGCTGCTTAAAAGCTGAGCATTTTAGTCGTTGGTTACAAAATCAAATTTGGCCTAGCTTGCAAATTCATAGACAAATTGTTCAAGTTGTCACCACAGAATGTGAAAACCTTTGAAATGTCATTAATTGATGATGTTATTCCCAGATTATATTTTATCATCATGTAACATTGAGGAAAATTGGCAGGAATAAAAAATGATTAGACAGAAAATGCTGCAAAACATGTAAACATTGTCCTTGTTTCACACAGCATTAATACAGGAAGGAAATTTTGCAATCCAGGACAATAATTGTTAGAAAATCTGATGCTTAAAGTCATCAGAGAACATGAAGAATTATCTGAAAATATCTCCAGGGGAATCTAAAGTGCTAGGAAGATTTTGAAGAAGAAATAGGACAGCCAAGGAGTCTGAGATTTAACATACTTGGGTCTGGCTGGAATAGGACAAATGAGATTCACTAAAAGGGAATGAGTAAGGTTAAGAAAGATCTGACAGAGATTGGAATGCATTCCTTCTGAGAGAAGGAAAAAAATCAAAACTTTTTATAAGATTTGAATAACTATTTGCTTAATTCGAGGGGAATACAAGAACAGTTTAACACTACTGAAATTAAATGTCCAGTAAGAGAAGTAACTTGAATAGACAAGAACCTGACAAATTCCTTAATGAAAGCCATTGTGGGAGAAGACTATATGAGGAAGAAAAAAATGCTGTGCTTGAATGCTGAGGTGAAGCACACGTGGAGTGCTGAGCCCAACATGCATTTTCAGTCTTTTTGCAGACTTGACAGGAACCCATTAAGGGACATAAACATATATACAGTATGAGTTGCAGTTAGCATCACAAGCTTTCAAACCTTACTGACTGAGGCAGAAATACTCACAGTTCAACTCTTTTATTAACACACACTCATTTCAACACTTAACAATTCAGTTATTTTTTTTCAATTGTAAAAGGAGATATGTTTGGCCATGAATCAAGTGCCTTTTATATGTGTGTATCCTTCTTAAGCCTCAAAAGGATTACCAGCTTCCCTTCTCTGTTATTTTAGTTATAAATTGATTTAGTATAAAATATGATCTGAGCTCTCCTAAGGCTTAATTTTCTCTGATAACAAGACTAAGGTGTGTCAAAAAATAACAATCCACACAAATTGTGTGCTGCACGGTAATCAAAAGATTTTGTTCAAACACATATAAAAATCTCAAAAAAGGTTATAGACTATACCTGTATTCTTTGTAGGCTGAGATAGATAATTTGTTATTTCTAATCCTGAGGACTGTATTCATATCCATTCACATTCAGGAGTTTGTCTGAATGGTTTTACTGCACACTTACTCGGTCAACAGCAGTCTTAGATTTCTGACATGCAGCCCACTAAGTTTTAGATCTTACATCTATTGAACACACTTGTTAACTGAATTCCATCTTGGAAATAGGTTTTATTTACACCACATTACTTCAAATACAATTTATGTCAGCTTTTTCTTTTGTGACCGGTTATTCTGCTGGATGAAGATAACAATATAATTTCAAAGAGAGATTGTTCATTTCTAGGTGAGTTAGGAACGTAGAGCCATTTGTGTCTCAGGACTACGTAACTAAGAGGAGCTACTGTAGCTGGGCTCATTCTACACCATCACGGGAACTGGTATGTTAAGTTCCTGTGTCAACGGGCGTCAAGGAAATCCTTGGGAAATAAATTTTCTCTATTTTATTCTCTTAAAGCCTGTTAAATTGAAAACTTCTACTCTAAAATGTTATTACATCAGGTAGGGGAAAAAGTAAATTTTCATGCACAGTGGGATGTTAAGCCTCCAGCTCCTGGCTCACAAAAGCAGAAATAGTGTTTCTATTTCCATATATATCACACTGGAAACGTACCCAAGCAAAATATGTTTGAACAGCCTAACATAAAATAAGATCAACTTTCTAAAACTGTAAGAAGGAAAGAGTAGTTGACTTCTAAAGATTATTGCAAGAATATTGATAGAGATGGGAAATTAAAACTATATTCATTCTGACTCCATCTATGATTTAAGTTCCAGAAGATGAATATTCTGTGACTGTGATATGTATGCAAGGATCATACAGTCAGTCTTAGCCAACATGCCCATTACTTAGACACAGAGAAACTGTTCACTGTAAAGAACATCTGCTTTTTTTGCAAGAAATTATGTGGGGCGGTTAGCTTGGCAGCTGAAAGCAACAAGACACCATTCTATTAAAAATGCCAGACAGACTTCGTTGAGACCTCTCCTCCAGTAATAAACATTAACAGTAAAGGCATTTGATAGAAAAGCTTAAATAAAAATTATAAAGAAATCAGTTATAAAATTTTGCTTCTGAGCTAGGGTAGGGGATGGAAGATTCACCACTGCTGGAGACCAGTCTCCCATTGCACTGGAAAGTGCCTGGGCATTACCATATGTTCTTTTTAATTCTAACTCAGACTGCAAAAGCTATCACTGTCTCGAGCAATGCATCAAGACACCGAGTGAAAATTATTGTTCCCTAGGTCAGGTGGGGAAGAGAGGTTGTGCTTAGTTCAACACAGTACAAAGTTAAAGAGAGTGACAGTCATGGATTGCTTGAGCTAATTTGGCTGACTTTCATAGAATCATAGAATCAACCGGGTTGGAAAAGACCTCCGAGATCATCAAGTCCAACCCCTGATCCAACACCGCCATGGTTACCAGACCACGGCACTAAGTGCCACATCCAATCTCATCTTAAAAACCTCCAGGGATGGTGAATGCACCACCTCCCTGGGCAGCCCATTCTAATGTTTGATTATTCTCTCTGTAAAAAATTTCTTCCTAATATCTAACCTAATCCTTCCCTGGCACAGCTTAAGACCGTGCCCTCTTGTCCTACTGCTGGTTGCCTGGGAGAAGAGACTGATGCCCATCTGGCTACAACCTCCTTTCAGGGAGTTGTAGAGAGTGATGAGGTCTCCCCTGAGCCTCTTCTTCTCCAGGCTAAACAACCCCAGCTCCCTCACCTTCTCCTCATGGGACTTGTGCTTGTGCTTGAGTCCCTTCACCAGCCTCGTTGCTCTTCCCTGGACCTGCTCCAGCACCTCAATATCCTTCCTGAGCTGAGGGGCCCAGAACTGGACACAGTACTCAAGGTGTGGCCTCACCAGCACTGAGTACAGGGGAAGAATCACTTCTCTGGTCCTGCTGGCCACACTGTTCCCGATACTTTGTGCTGGCAGACCAAAAATGCTCTCACATTTTGTTCCATCAGCTTTTCTGTGGGACAAATAACCTTCAGCCTAACACCAGAAATGAACAGCTCAAATTAGGCCTAAAACCTGACAGCCATTTGCCAAGTGAATAGTGCTTAAGTCTTGAGAGAACACAGAATAAGAACTGAAGCAAAGTAGAAGAGACTGGAGTTGGTTTTCATCAGTTTAAGACATCTGAAAATGTCTTCTTAGACAACTTTAAAGGACTATGTCTATCATTTTCTGTACTGATATCTGTAGCATTTGCTACAGATACAGGGAAGTTTAAAATACAACTTAGAATATATTTTACAGTTTTAAGAAAATTCAGTATTCATTATTTAATGGTACGGAGAATATTTTGTGTTTGCTGCAAAACAGAAAATGTAGGTCGAGTCACAGAGTACTCTGGGTTGGAAGGGACCCAGAAGGATCATTTAGTTCAATTCTTAAAGCCAATCATTAGAGAAATGGTAACTGTATAAGGAGAAGCAGGGAGAGAGAGGGAGAAAAAGAGAGCAAGAGAAAGGTGGGGAGGGAGAGAGGAAATTTATTATCCATGAATATGGAAACTGCACAGTCAGGTATGTGGTTTCTTGCACTCTACTTTTCTTGATGGCTATGGAAGATTTATTACTGCAAATTTAAATTAGACGTTTTGAAATCAGAAGTGACTAATGATGAAACTAACAAGATGATTACATTTTTCTACTGTAGAGGATGAACCAGCATTCTATAATATCAAATGTAATATCATTGTGTAATAATATGCTGCATAAATGTAACACCATGACATTTTTCAACAGCTAATCTATCTAGGCTATATATTAAATAATTTTTTAATCATCTCTGATTTGCAGTCCCCTGAATACATTCCAAAGGAGATATAGTCTCCTCATACAGCAGAGTTGATTGATAACAAGCTTGCCTTTCTTATCTGTCATGGGGTCCCTAGTGACAGGTTTCCAGGGTCCCAAGACCAACAAGCCAAAAGAACTGATGTACAGTAAGTTACCTTCAATATGACTGCAAAATGACTGAATGATAAAAATTCATTTTCTACACAGTCATTTCTGTTGTACCTCTAAATACAGTGTTTTAGTGTGATATTTGCAAAAGCATTCTGGTGAACTGCACTTCTATTAAAAGGAAGAGAAAAATAACCAATTTACCTGTTAGTTGATAGATGCTGCAAGGATTTGATAAACTGGGGATAAACAGTCACAGTATTTGGTGATGTAACCATCTCTGGCTTTTCCTGCTGGTTTTGAGATCAAAAAACAAAATTAGGTAGGAGAGGATTTTTATTAGAGTTCTTAATACTGGCCTATAGGTTTCAGCAATAACAAGGTAGGCAAAGACTCATTCAGAAAACACAGAGTTTGAATCATACAGTATTTTCTCCACTTGCACAAACACTTCTGAACAAAGAGAAAAGTATTTAGAATTGGTTTGAGTATTTTTAAGCTCAAGTTACAGTTTTTTAATATGTAACAGCATGTGTTTACCGGTTTCAGTTTCGTAGGGAGCTCAGATGTACAGATAGGTCAAGATCCAAGAAATCAATCCCAATTACTTTTTCCAGTTTTCTAGTCTTCTGCTGATGAATCATGAGAGGCTGCATCTTGGAGCTCTCTAGTTAAGGGATACCGAAAAATGTGCTCCAGTGGATTCAAGAATATTACTTGCAGTGCTTTGAAAAGCCTAAATATTTAGACAGGAGGGTGACTAAAACATTATCCTCTTTGCCACTAATACGGTTAGGGATTTTAATGTGAAAAGTATTTTGTGATGATAACTTGAAGTTAAGCTAGTTAGGTGGCACTGTATGGATAACTAAGTTTCTGATGTTCAGTTCTGTATTTACTTTAGGCTGTTTTCTTAAAAATACAGTTAAATTTATACTCACAAGAATTAAGCAAAAAATGGGCTAAACGTTTCTTCGTTTATAACAACTTTTCCTCAAGGGGTAAATCTTTTCTTCCAGGTAATAATAAATGATATGGGATGGACTGTACTCTTTTCATGAGGCTGATGTACATTTCATGGCAGTGTTTCATTGTGACATGCCATGTCACTACTTCTAAGTCATTAAAAAAGTGTCAGCAGAGGAGCATAAGAAAGCTATGTTGTTTCAGTTGAGTGTAGTCTTCAGACTGTGTTATGAATTTCTGATACACTGTTTAAAATGACACCTCTTTAGTTCTTTTTTACACAAGTGAATTAGAGCACCCTGTTTCTGCTGGGTTTTTAAACACTGGTGGACATCAGGTAGAGAGTGAGGGAACACAGTCTGTGCTGAGAGGTGCTAACCCTCTGGAAGCTTAGGGAAGCTGAAAGGTTACTGGAGTCTTTGAAACAAAGGAAAAAAGACAACTACATTTGCTGGAATAAATCTGATGAAACCATAGTTTTGCTAGCAGTAAAAAAGATTATTTTCCCCAATCTTCTCTATTTGTTTAATGTTCCTTCAGAATTGTTGGCATTTTGGGCCCATTCTTCCCTATCAATTTTTTTGAGAGAACATAAAAACAGAAAAATAGAGAAGAAAGAAATTATTTTTCTTTATTTGTGTTAGCTTCACATTGTCCAATTTATTACTGGATATTACCTTTGTCCAGTTTATTACTGGACATTACCTTTGTCCAATTTACATAGGCATAAGCTCAGGTGAATCAGACCCCGAATCATACTCCTTTCTATTTAGTCAATTAACTACTTTAAGAAATTATTGAAGATGTTATATTTACATGAAAATGGAAGAAATATAAAGTGATTTCATACCTGTAAATTTTTTGCCTCTTCAGACCACCAGACTTCAAAGTCTTTTTGCATCTTCATCTTTACTTTTTCCATAAGGAGCTGTAGGTGCTCAATCTCTACCTTCAGCCCTTTGAAGCGATTGAACATTGTTTTATAACTAATATGAGAAGAAGAAAGTGTATTACAGATCTTCCAACATATATCTGAAGAAAGATTTATCCTATCTAGAACAGTTACAGATTTAAACTATAAAATAATAAATAATAATCAGAGATGCAGGGGACACAGAGAGATGGTAGAAGGAAGCATGTCATGTTTTAGAAAAGCTTCATGTTTTATTAAAGCTTTTATAAGTGCAAGAAACTTATCCCAAAAACCTTTTATTTCATAAAAAAATTAGTGAAATTCAAATGGGATCAATCTTGATTAACAATTAAAATATAGGTTCAATCAACCATGTAAAATATTTCTTTTGAATACTCAGCATGTTACCATTAATAAAGAACTGGTCACCAGGGCTTGGATTCAGATAGGAGCTGAGATGGATCCCCTTTTAGATGGAAGCTTCATTAACCAGGCCTCTTGGCTAACATATCCTTGGAGATTTACCAGGAGTATGAAAGAGCCAGAAGTTTCCTCAGAGATTGCGCATAAGACAAATGGTAGTAAAATACTTAGAACTGATATCCTTGCATCTATTTTCTTTTATACTCCTGGCTACAGCAACATTAGAACAAGGGCTGGTTAACAAATGTGTATCCTACATGTTATTTACACTTGGTCAGTCCTGCATAACCTAAAGATTTTCCTTAGGTCAAGAAAGGCAAGACTTTTCTGAATCAACCAAAAAGGTTCATAATACATTTGGACTCAAAGAACGAGTTTTGAACACTAAGCCTCAGGGAGGATATTAAGCTGGTTTTATTTATTTTTAGCTTTTAGCCCAAGCATAAATTTTCCCCAGTCATCTACTGTGGCATCTTACAGACAAACCAACAGCATATACACAAATTTAAAAACTATTAGTGAACCACAAAGCTGACATTTTTTAAATGTCAGAGAAAACCCTGAGGGTAACTGTGTGTGCAGAATTGTAATTGGAATATACTATCAGTATAATTTATCTTCTGCAGGATAGCAGAAGTCTGAGGCAGAAGTAATACCTTTTTTTTTCTTCTTCAATTTGCATTCTAAGTTTCTCTTCTACTGGATCAAACATATTTAACTCTTCAGAAGGACTTGAAACAGCTATAGGAGAAATGTTCAGATGTAAGCAATGACCATATGATGTCCAAAGAAGCAACTTCTAATTAGAATAAAAACTACTTTTTAAGAGGTAGTTAACAAAATGGGGGTCATTAACCATTTCTCTCTTCTGGAAATGCTTCTTCAAATTCCTTATTTAGGCCTTACTTAGTAGAGGAGACACTTGATAACTAGGGATTTGAATTAAGTTGCTTTTAATTTTTTTTCCCGGGAGAGATGTGAATACTTATTTTAGACATGAATAAAAGCGAGTTGTCAGTTTAAACATTCATCTTTGGCATAAAACCTTACCAAATGCATTCAACCTGGCAGTTTTGGCTACAAAGAAAAGACCAGAAGTTGTTTCAAAAAGAAGAGACAGTAGTAGCTGTGTTGGTGTTTGGAAAAAAAGTAAGAGAAGGTTGAGTAAAAGACAAATCTTGAAAGAAAAATTAACACTTTGCTAAGCAATAAATTCAGACAATTGGTACAAATAAGGAAAACATCCTGAAACTATGTGAGAAAATTTTCAAGGTAAAGGAGAACTGAGGAAATACCTTGAGTAGCCTAAATTAATCTAAGAAACCAGTTTAGGATTTTCCTATCCTGTAACAGAGCTAGTGAGCATGCAATACACAATATGCTTATTATGAGAGATGATAAAACAGTCTTTCCATCATGGTTTATATGTTCATCAGTGAAAGGAAATGTAAAGTTACCTACTAGTTTTACAACAGTTTCTGTTTCTAGGATGAATGAGAATAGTTTTAGGTTCCCAAGAAAACATGTTTAACCTTTTTAACTCAAGAAAAATAAAAGAAACAAAAGATTTGCTGTACAATACATGCAAGTTTCCACCCCGACTATTATTTCTGCCAGGAAAATAAATTCTATGTCAGCCTGTCACAAGGCCTGAGGAATGCACCCTCTCTTTAAGGAGAGGAATTCTGTCTGGAACAAGAGGGCAGTAATGACCCCTCTCTGCCTCTAAGCACGCCAGCTGAAACCATTAATCTTTTGTTGTAGCACCCTATAGCTTAATACAGATTAAGTTGAAAGGCATTTTATTTCATTAGAAGACTTAAGCATGTTAATACAGACAGTCAAGGTGGACAAAGGCCCCGCAGAATTCTCATTTTGTACATTGAAAGGCTTTGCTGCATGTGATTACAAAAAAAAAATAGGGTGAAGACATTTGTGGTGGAGAGGGTACTCTGAAAAGATAAAAATATAAACTGCTTGGAATGTTAAAGTGAATGCACAAGGTAAAAACATCAAGGCAGAGGAGATGCTACAAAAGTGGCATTGTATAACAAGCTATACGTGAACACAACAGATAATAAGAAGGCCATCATAATCATGTCAGAACCTCTGTGGAAAGCAGTAAACCTTTCCATGATTACAGCATATGAGGATTTTCTGATTTGTCAGATTTCATGCCCAAGAGAAGGTATAATGTGGGAAAGCACAGAACTACACAGGGAACTTGTGAGGAGACATTCACTGCAGAGCTCCTGAGGCTTCACACTTGTTCTGACCTTCACGAATACACAGAATCCAGGTTTGAGAGAAATATGCTCTTGTGGAACAAACTGAAATGATTTAGGGAGTTACTTCCTCCTAAGCGAGCCATGCTCACAGACCATGTGAGAATCCCTAATATGTTTCCATGAATATTCCAGCCAGACCTAGTGTGAGCCAACTTCAGCAGTGGTTAAAGGGGACTCTTCTGAGAACACTGAAGTGCATTTGTCCTATTTGCACAATCTGTAACAGTGTCTGAGTTCAGGAGGTAGCAGCTCCAGCCCCTTATAAGGAAGGGAAATAATACAGATTGGAGACTGTATCATCTTAAAATGTTAATACTGTTTCTGAAGTGAGGACTTCCCTACATGAAAACATCACCAAATTCTTCTGATCATTACAGAGTGATGCAAGGCCATAATATAACTTTCCTTCCTTAATTTATTAGGACATCTAGTACTTGGAAAAATGTTTATATGTTAGCTCTGAAAGGTCAGCAAAACTTAGGCAGAATTTCGTCACTTATACATAAAAACACCATGAAAAATGTTTTTCTTCTGCTGATTACATGCTGTAGAAGGGATTATTTGGTTGCAAGTTACCTTCAGAAATAATAAAGCCTTTTATATGAGATGAGAACCTTTATCATAAACAGGCCCCATCATCTCCACCCCTGAATAAAATTACACCCCTTATCTTCAGCTAGTAATGAAAGTCAGAAACACAGCTATGGGCAAGGTGAGCAGCACAGTTTCATGAACAGAAAGAAATGAGTATGCTGCAAGCTGATGGGGTCCCAGCAGCAAAACCAGCATTGGATAAATAGCTACAACTTAGACATCCATCACTGTGCTCGTGTCACAAAAGCAGAAGAGATCTGATCACAGTATCAGATGAGATCCAGTGGTAAATTAAGTCCAGGACATGCCTACAGGGGCACTCCTTTGTAAGATGTCCAGTGCCTTTTCCCAAGCTGCTACAGTCTCCATTTCAGCTTTTTGTTATGCCTGCTCATTGCAACAATGTGTTTGTTAACTGAATAACTTTCTGCTCTGAAGACTAAACCTTTTTGAATCCACCTACTGTAATATATACGAACATATACCTGGCTCTTTCCTGATGTTCTGAGCAAAAGACATCTAAGGTCTGGTAGACTGTACTTCAACTCTTATGTTTTCTGCTGCTTCTGCCTTCTCCTCTTTCCCTTCCACGTCTTTTCTCCCCTCTCCTCTTTACCTTTCCTGAATCCCTGCAGTGGCCTCTTTCTGCCCCTGGGCTCCTGCTGCTGCCTCACACCCCTCTCCTCTTACCAGTCCACGCAATTTCAGCTACAGCTGACGTGAGGAAGGTAAGGCAGAGGTTACTGGCTCATGTCTAATGTTAATGTTCTTCAGTACGTAGGCTTGGTTATTTTAAAATAACATGAGAGGGACAACTGAGTGAATAAAAAGCATAATATTTACTCAAAAAATTTAATTCAGATACCTAAGAGGAAATACTTTCTTTTTCCTACGGGTTTTTATTCCTCTAAAGAGTTTCTTTTTATTGTATATTTCTGCCTTTCCATGCAAGAACAGAAAGCATTTATTAACCACATATATAGGAAGTACATGCAAATTGCTAAACACTGAAAAATCACATCAACTTTTGCCCTTATAAATTAAAAAATTCTGCAATACATTACAAGATGTAGTAGAGATGCTACTGCTGAAATACTAATTATCAGATATCTTTTCTGCAACTGCACAGAAGAACACAAAGTGGTATCTCCTTGTTCACTCAGGGTTGACTTTTAATTCATTGATTGACAGTTTGTCATATGAAACTTGATTGTACAGTCTTGCTCTATGCTTTCAGTGCATCAGCTGAGATGAGCCATTCAATTGATGTGTAATACCACACACACTTTTAGTGCCCCAGTGACTTCTCCTGGGAAACAAATGGAGTTACTGCAATTTAATCCTGGATAATGCAGACTCAGGTTTCAGGGGTGCAGGGGAGGTATGATGTGCATGTTTAGGAAAACATTGGCTCTGTATATACTAGGGGTTTCTGTTGGCATACCTCCATCCAATTCTATACAACAGAGTTATTTTGTCAGTAGTCAGCAATGTACTGATAAGGAGTATTAGTTTCTTTACATTAGCATAACTGCACATACAGCTGACTGTCAAAAATTATGAATCCTAAGTTGTGAATCTTTTTAAAGAATATTGAGGTCACAAGATGTAAAGAAGAGACTTTGACAGTGCTATGCAGGGTAATGAAATAGCTAGCAACTTTTATGCTTACTTTTGGGCTAACTGGTTTTGTTTCATCTTCACATTTGGTAAAGTAAGGAACAGGATACAACTGATACCAGCTGCCTGCTTACAGAGGAAGGTGAGCTCTGCATGAGTTGACAGTTCATATCATAAAGGTTTGTGATTTTTGGCTTTTTTTGCATAAAGAATTTCTAAGAGGCATTCTAAGACATGATTATTTTATTCTAATGAAAGGGCCAATTTTGGAGCACAGGAAGTAGTAAATTTTACAGCACATTCCACATCACCAAAACACACAGTACCAGAAAGAAATTACAGCACCTGCTAACTGGACCACTATTGCAAAGCAATATGGAAAGCATGGATGAAAAACACTATTTCTAGCATGAGATACCAAGTGTTATCACCATGGTTTACTGCAAGCTGGCAACAACACGAAATACTCTGGCAGATTCTTGTTTAGAGTCAGAAAATTTTGCAAGAAACTCTCTGTGACCCTGAACTTTATACTCTCTGGAGCACTCGTATATTTCTCGACCTGAGTGTATCCCAGAAGTCAAACTCCTAGGGATTTATTGTCTTGTGCCTCAAATAACATTGTGCCCTGCCCTCCAGCTGTACTTTTGCAGTCAAATATTTTCATTTTTTCACTAGATAGTCTTGTGTTTATCTGCTTAAATTTATAGTCACTTGAAGTAACCAAATTTAGAATTGACTTTAGTATCCCATTAACATATTTACTGCTTTATTTATCAGCTTTGGAGCTTTTGGCAAACTCGGGCTTTAGTGCTTTCAAACTGGACCATATGTTGTCATTTGGTTTTTTAAAACAGAACTACCCATCCATCGTTAAGGATCAGCTTACAAGTAATTGCCCCCCTTTTCTTTTTTATTCCTCCCCTAGGCCATGTCAGCCTATGTTTGTCACTGGGCACCATGTGTGTACCTTATACAAAATCAAAGATGAGTATGCACATCCAACCCAGGAAGAGAGGAAAATATCCTAGTGCTTGGATGAGTTTATATTGTGGGTTTTAGAGCAATTTCCCTAACCCTAATATAAAAGATTTTTTTACAGTTTCAGCCAATTTGTCATGAGGAAACACTGAAACAAACTGTCCTATTTCCAGCATTTTACAAGTTAATGAATGTAGAGGGGGTTGGGGACGTGTATTTTCTAGATTTTGATTTTGATTTTAATCACTGAATTTATTA